TTTTTTTGCCTTTTTCTGTCTAAAGAGTTAAAAAAACCAACAAAAAAAACCAATATTGGTTGACTTTTTTTCTTCTTTTTACAAATTCTCTCTTGTTTCTCTTTAAAGATCTTACAAGTTTCAATTAATGGTACTACATTTTTAAGTACTTTTAAGTGAGATTTAAATTATTTAAAATAATTTCACAAGGCACAGACGTTACCCAAAAATAATTTTTTTAGAAAGTATTTAACAGAGCTACAGTCCATACAGACGTCCACTTGTAAGCAAAGTGATGTGCGAATTTAGCTTAACACCAAAAATGCAGTTTAGTCAGAAAAGGGTAGCCCTGAAATGGCTCACTAGAGTCGTGCTAACGAAAGAGCATGAAGTGAGACAACAAGGAAAAGCTGGCACTTTCACTTAGCCTGTATTTCTTTTTCTGAAGGCACTTAGAATGCAAAGACGAGCGTGGAGGAATGAGTCAACAGAAAATGGGGACCCATACTAATGAATCTTCCACAGACAGTAGCGTCAACCCCAAATCAATGGGGACAAAACAGAGTGACAAACAAAGGAATGGCTGGAGTGGAGATATAGGGGAAAAAGCAGAGAAGATGTACAGGGAAAAGATGTATACAGGATGAGAAGGCAGAGGTGGAAGCAAACTCACGGGTCTGAGCGAAGCCACTGAAGAATAATGCCTGTTGTACAGTACAGGATCGAACCTTGTCTCCTTGGTAACCGGCTGGAAAATGGGAGAAAAAAAAAAGAAAGAAAAAGATACTCTTATACATCTGTGCAATTTAGAAAATTTAAAGTAAGGTCACCAAAATAAAAGCAGGACTTCTCTGAGAAATGAACTTAGGTTTTGTAACAGTTAACTGTGTTGCATTTCCACCATTTTTGCTACTTTACTTTAAATAAGCACCACTTTTATGTTTAACCTTTACATAGAAGTGAAAATAAAACGTTGCTGATACCAAATATTATACTACAATATGTAACGGAATTGTAGTATGCTACAGTGCACTACAGTAAGAAGATTTATTCATGCTTTGTTTATGTACTAATGCTGAAAGGTTTATTCAATTAATTACAAAATAGCTTCTCTTATTTTAAAGTTATCACTGTAGGAACTGCCTTTCATATGATATCTGATAAAACAAAATTCATTAACAACTGAGCCTTCTAAAAGGGTTTGTTGTATAACTGATGCAAGATTAATGTGCCAAGAAGAGGAGACTAATTACACGATATAATATTCTTTTCTTTTTTTGTGAAGCCTGAAGTCCAAAGAATTAATGTATATTTCACAAAAATCAAAAGAGAGTAAAACCAGCAAAAGCACCACGAAAAACAGTGAGTCTTCTGGACTGGTATATAAATACAGAGCAACATGTATCAATGGCAAGACATTCATAGTAGAATACAGTTGTAACCACACATTTCTATACTGTAGTATTGCAGAGCAACATGTTCACTGCGTATTTATTCACAAATACTCTGGATCCTGTTTCACAAACACTCTAGCACTGACACAGCTGGCTGCTTTACCTAGCTGTTACCCAAACCTTGCACATAGTGAGAAGATTCTGTCACCTTCATTTTCATCAGTGACTGTGAGTAGTGGATTAACCAACATGACTTTGGCAATGATAGCCTATGGAGTGAGTACTGACTACTATCAGTAAGCTAAATCAATTGTGAAAAATCAGCCAGTAAATAACAAGCAGAATTGGGTATTTTATTATAGAAAAATATCCAATAGAAATCAGCATACTCCACTATTGTATAAATCACTGTTCGCTCAGGCTGCACAACAGCAAATTGCTTTTGTTCAATTCTTGCTGCAGATGTTTAATGTGTGTGTTTTTAAGAAAAATTATTTTATGGCGTTCATTTACCCACACATTTCATGTATCCATCTTGAGTCCTTTCACCAAGTCTATGTAGACTATGTATACATAAAAAATATAACATGCTGTAGATCTCATGCAGAACATCTGAGCTCAGTAAGCTTTTAATTTAAATATTAATGAGCTATAACATATGTCATGTGTTAAAACTGCTAACTACGTCAAAATCTATGTTTAAGATGTCTAAATCTGTTCCTACTCTGATCATGCTGGCTGATATCACCAACTTCAGTCTAAACCACAAAGCCTCAGCTGTTACCGCCAACCTTGAAAACAGCAAGCTCAGTCTGAAATAGACAGACATAATCAGGGAGGGAAATAAAACAGTCTGATTTCTGCAACAGCGCTCCCATCAATTTAACCTGCTGTGGCTGGACTCTTAACCATATCAGATCTAAGGGAAATGAGCTTTCTAAACATAAGTATTGCTTTTGGTTTCTTAGCCTCTAAACCAATTACAGAATGTCAATTAAATATACAGTGAGCCTAATTTCACCTTCACACAATCACTGGCCACTTTGTTAGGCATGACTGTTCAACTGCTTGTTAATGCAAATATCTAATCAGCCAATTAGATATTTGCTCATATAGTAGCAACTTAATGCATTCGGGCATGTAGACATGGCCAAGAGAGCAACTATCTTCAGCGAATGGACAGCAAATGGTCAGAAAAAGATAATCCAGTAAGCAGCAGTTCTCTGGGTGAAAATCCTTAGCTGGTCAGAAGAGAAAGGCCAGTCTACTTCGAGCTAATACGAAGGTAAAAGTAACTCAAAAAAAATAAAAAAAAAGAGCATCTCTGAAAGCACAACAGGTCAGCCTAAAACTGATGGGCTACGAGTGCCACTACTCTCTTGGTTCAGAACAGGAAATTGAGGCCACAATTCACAGCAGCTCATCAAAATTAGAAAACGGAAAAATGGAAAATCTTTGTCTGGTCTTTCTTAAACATCCTAAACATGACAATGAGTTCACTGTAGTCAAATGGCCTCCACATTGACCAGATCTCAAGTTTCAGGAGAAAGAATTTTAAGCATGAGCACTTCTCAAAAGTGTTGCGTACCTCTGCAGGCGGATTTGGTAACCACATGAATTCCCATTCCCAACACTTTCTGCCCTCTCTGCCGCTACACGCTCTGCAACCTGATAGGAAGAGCACACACACACAAATAGGATTTAAGAGGAGAGACAGCATTGTATTGCAAAAAAGTAATAATTTCTATATGAGCGATGCCGAAATTTTGCTGTATGCAAATGCATCGCATTATTTTTATGTCATCAAAGTAACAACCAGTTGTTATGTTTAAGGGGCAATTGCTTTTTCGAACAGGGCCATGCAGGTTTTAAGCTTTCTGCTTATTAAAGAAAATCATCACTCAAGTTCTGCATTTTGTATTTATGAAATATAGCTCAGGGAGTAGAGCAGATCATTCACTAGTCAGTGAATGATCTGCTGGTGGTTTGTTCCCTGTTTACTCCAGTCTGCATGCCATAGTATCCTTGGACATAGAAAGCACTTAGGTGAATGAGACATGTAGTGTAGGCTTGTGTAGAGTAGAAAAGGGCGATGTAAGGAAACAGTGCATTTGCCATGTATTTATTCAATATAAATATGCAAGAAATCAGGAAGGAGACAAATATTTTCCACAATAAAAAGATTTTAAAAATATATCCATATCTTTTTTTAATCAAACTAATTATTTTGCCCTTTTATTTCATTGTTTAATTTTAGTTAAGTGTGGAAGTTTGTACTTTGCATTCATTCACAGACAGATCACATTCTTTCATAGGTTCTCTACTGTTATCGTGTGTGTGTGTGTGTGTGTGTGTGTGTGTGGCTGGACTCATGGTGCTGTGTTTGTGTAAATTTGCACTGCTCTCTGGCTCACAGTGACAAAGGTTCTTAGTATTTAACCTATGCAGTGGCTTAGAGGCATATGTGCATGCACTCTTATTAACAGCTAACACTGAACAGTGATGCCTCTATGCATAAGCCTAATTCTGATTGGTTATAAAGACACATTTGATGGCAGAGAAGCTAGCCTTGGACAGAGAACCAACAGGTCTGCTAGGAATCAAAAATGACTGCCTGACCTATCCCATAGAGAAGCAGCATAACAGAAGCATTGCCATGGCAACCACATTAAAATCAGTAGGCACACAACAACATATAATCCTTCAGAGGCCAGCAGAGTACATACCGAGATGGCACTGATGCGTCGAGGCTGTGTGCAGACCACACGGCACATTGAGCCCATGCCTCTGTTGATATAGTCATCCAGGATGAACTGAGTGACCTGAGTGGTTTTGCCACATCCTGTTTCCCCACTCACCACTAGGACACGGTTAGAATTGATCAGCGTTACCAGCTCCTGAGATCAGGAGGTTGAAGAGGAGTGATTTACAGATGAGGCAGGAAAGCAAACAATAACAAAAAAATAAATAAATCAAATCTGAAAACCAGTAATGAAGTTTTAGCAGAACTAGTGATTCATGATAAAAGCACATTTGCATGTGAAATACTTGCCTCTTTTTTCCCATAAGATGGTAGTTTTTCCCTGAATTTCTGAAGACAAAAAGAACAGATGATGAGTAAAATAATGAGATAAAAATTCAATAAAATTAGGAACAGATACTTTAAAAAGAAATATTCCATAATGGGAACAGTCCTAGCACATCAGAAGTTATCCAATTCTAATAACCAAAGATAAATACTGACTCTGCGCAGTACCTCACTAATACAGTGGTAACCACTTGAAATGATGTAGCATGATAACATTATGATAAATTGATTGAATACTTGGTAAGAAGACTTTTCCATTACACATCATCTTGTACATAAATTAAACTTTGCACACCTATTTCCACAGGAAAATTTTGCACTAAACAATTTAAATGTATAAATATAATATACATTTACTTATTTACACAAACATAAACAAAAGCTACTTACATACAGCCAATGCACCAATGCATTTGGGCAACATTCTTTTTTTTTTTCCCCCAAACATAGAACCTTTCAACTGAATGAAACCCATTACTTTTTATTTTTCTTATTAAAAACACTAATTAATTAAATTGGACTTTTGGACCTTAAATGACAACAAATGACTAGTATAGTAGTAATGTTGTTATCTAAAGGCACTAAACATGCTAAACTACCAAAAAAATCCCACCTTGTCCCCACCTTAGCTATTTTAATAAATATGTTCATGCTAGAAACTTAAACCTAGATTTTATACCACTGAAAACTCTTACCAGCATTTCTTTGTACTTTCCATCTGATTTCTTACTCTGCAGATCTCTCTTCAAGTAGTCATCCAGGGACCTTTCTCGGACTACTTCTTGATGTAAGAACTCCAGATCCTTATCTTTAAAAACTGGTTTTGCCACCTCCTCTTCCTGATCTTCTTCATCCCATTGATCTGGCGGCTCATCTTTAACCGCTGTTGTAGAGTGACTAGAAAAAAAAAACATTCAGTGGTATAAACATCCAATATTACCTGGAAAACCTTACATTACTATTTGTTCTGCAGAATTTCTAAATGATTTAAAAAAAAAAAAAATTAAAAAAAAAAAATCACACATTTTTACACAAAGTTACCTTTGTGTTTTGCCAGTTGCTTTCTTCTGGCCTGGACTACCTTCTTCTTCCTCCCATTTGACCTCAGTCTTAGTTTTTTCCTCTTCAGGCAAATCCCCATCAAAGTAACTAATGATGATAAACACGCTAAATTAGTCATGATGTCAGCAGTCAAAGGGGAAGAAATAACTGAAATTTTACTATTCTGTCTAGCTTTCCTACTAATTCATTGTAAGTTAGTAACGACAATTGATAAAGCTATACAAGCCTCTCTCACCAGTGGGCACTATCCATGGCAGCTGTTTGCCAGCTGTCAGAGGTCGAGGCTTTTTCATCCCTGCGGCCCCTTTCTGGGCCGAGCTGGTCATTCTGGACAGAGTTAAGCAGTTTGGTAATGTGTTGCTCTCTTGCCTCATCCATCTGGACCACTGCCCGCTGCACAAGCAAATGGGAAAAGGAAAGTTAGCTATGACCTTGCAACAGTGTTTTTCCAAATTTCACTTTATACCACTGAAAAAGAAAATACTACTCATTAACACTTTGAAGACAGGGACCTGTCTCGGACTAATTCCTGATGTATGAAGATAAATATGTAACAGAAATACTTACTGTTGTAGATGTAGTTTTGAATTGTGCTGTGTAAGTAATCCCTTTTTTTTTTTTTTAAACACAATGACAGATTGGATATTTATTCAGTATATAATGATGGTGGTGGTGGTGTGTTTGTATTATTAGTATTATTATTAATAATATTTTATATATAATTATTACCATTCTTATTTATTGTACAAGCAACTGTCTGTTAACCAGCAGGGGAAAATGTGACTTACTGCCCATGTTCAGATCAGTGTGAATACTTTCTGTGCACACAGTGAGCAATTTTCCAATCAGCTTCCCACACTTTGATGTGCTCAAAGATCTGCTCCTAACAGGCAGGGGCAGATCTAGAAGGGTGGCATGGGGTGGCAAGTGCCACCCTAAAATGATCCCTTGCCACCCCAGTTTTGCATATGACAGTGTTGTTAATTACAATACGATAGCATTAACAGTTTGAGCGTAGTTACAGTCAACAGTGAATATAAATGCTAAAACTGTATATATTGCATAGTGTCCCCCTGCTCCACCATTAACAAACGGTTCAGCCCACAACAGGACCGGCTTTTTCCTTGTTTTCAGTAGCAAGCGATGCTTATGATTGTGCCAGAGCACATTCTGAACAACAACATGGGAATTTCGGATTTTACACAGGTGGGTGGATGTTACACTCTGGAAATGGAATGAAGGTGAGTGTTATGAACCCCCTGTGGTCCACCGGCACGCTGCACCTCTAAATCACATGACTATTTTAAGCTGACATAGCAACAAGTTGCAGCCACGCTGGGTCTCTATTTCAGCCCACATTGAAAGTTTGGACTTCAAAGTTTTAAAATTTTAATTACAGGCCAGTAAATCCAGAGTTACGATAATATATATAAGCCACGCTTTTTTCTAAATACTGTCGTCACGTTTGTGTGTGTGTGTGTGTGTGTGTGTATGTGTGTGTGTGTGTGTTTTAAGCGTTTTGTAAGGACAGTGCGAAAACAGTAAAGAAAGGAAAAAAGCCACCTCTTTCCTATCGCTGGAAATATGTACCATGTCGACCAATTTTTTAAAAAAAAGTCAACACGTGGGATTTGGCTGTTTAGGAAGAGGGAAAAGTTTTAGGAGTGACGGTAACGGCAGCGAGACAGAGCGAGCAAGGGAGAGAGAGAGACAGCGAGTTAGAGAGAGTTTTTAGATGTGGCCATTTGTGACGTTTAGTGTGGAGTGTATACTTAGTGTGTTGGGTTGTCTTGTGTAGTTCTGCATTCTGTTGGGTAGTCGTTTGGTTTTGTGTGTCAGTGAGGGCACTAATGAATTTCACAAAGGCACATTGCAACGTAAACACTGTCACTAAGTAGAAAACCAGCGGAGTGATACACCTGTTGTCAGGCCTGCAGATTTATCCATGCTGCTCTCCTGTCTTTTGGTGGACAAA